GAGGATGGCCAGTGATTGTTTTATTCCATAAATTAAAAATAAAATAAGTAATTTTTTTTTTTAAAAGGAAATGCTTGGAGTCAGGAGATGAAGTGTCATGTGCAAGGAACAGCAAGGAGCAGAGGTCAAGAAAGCTGAGGACACTTTCTGTCCTTTTCTGATTATACATTTCCTCAATTATATTCTTAGGTTTACTCTCTGCTTCCCAAATGGTGATGGGCTGGTTTCTTCTAGGCTCTCCAACTTATCAGCTGGATGCCCTAATGAACTCCAAGGACTCTTGGGCCTTACCATCTGCTCTTCTGTAGAACCACAGCTTTTCCATCCATCAACCCTCCTATATGTGACATCTACCCCATTGGGAACGTGAGCTTCTTAAGTAGGGTCTGTCTTCTTTTTCTGTTTGCATCCCTGTTACACAACACAATGCTTGGCACATACTAAATGCTTAGTAAGGCTTTTCCATTCACTTCATTCCATTAATTCATATCCCTTTACCACCTCTTGAGCATAGGTCATTGTTGGAAACCTGCTAAACACCCACTTGTGCCTGCTGTCATCTCTCCATTGCTCTCTGCAAATCTGTGGTCTTTCAAAATTTGTAACCATATAACATCTCCAGAAGAACATTTCTGTTAAAAAGACAGATCTTTGTACTCAGGAGCCACTTAGACCTATTGAAAGTACTGCACAATTTTCAAAATGCAATTGTGCTGTTTTTTTCCTCCTATTTGATTCTGGGCCCAACTCACTGTCCACCTGTACTATCTGTCTCAAATACAGGGTGTCCTAAAAATCTTAGTGCAGTTAGCTTAAAATTGAATGAAGCTTTTTGGAAATGCTGTACTTGCTATACTAAACTCAGTGGGCTAGCCATCCAACTGAATGACAACCTGGACAAAAGGAATGCAAATTTGAGACCAGTTCTATTTCTACACAATTCTTCGTTGTTTAGAATTTTCCATCCGTTTAGTTTTTCCTGTGCAAATTATCAGCCTGATCTCTTTTGAATAATCACGAATTACCCCCAAACCCTAGAATGCTCTGCAGTTTGATGCAAGCAGCATACAGAGTGATACTCTCTGAATATCTCTCAGTGACTAGAGGTGTAAATATTATTGCCTCTATTCTTCTGGTCTCTTTTTCTCCCTGAGGTATCTTGTAAAATTATCCTGCAACATCTTTAAGATTGCACTACCTTAGGTACACATCCTGAGAATTCTTAACCTTTAAGAAATCATCTGTGGAGGATTGGCCCAATGCACTGGAAATCTTCCTTTGGTACACTTAATATGTCAGGGATACCAGTACATCATTTGGGCTGCCTACCTACTAGTCTTCACTCTAGTCCTCCTTCTTTTCCAATCATAAATGTTGTCCTTATCTGAGATTTAAAAAATTTCTGACAATGGTTTAATTCTTTTTTTTTTTTTAATCTACTTGGTCCTAACTGCTTCATCCAAATGCCTGACTTCATTAGAAGTTAGCCAAGAAAGCTATGCAATAACTTAGCTTAGCAAATGTAATTGCTTTTCATTACAGACAGTTTAATGTAGTGGCAAGAGCACTGAACCTGGAGTTAGAATGCCTCAGTTTAAATCCTGGCTATACCTTTTACTAATAATCATGTTGTTAGCAGCCTTCCTATGTAGTATTCCTTGTTGATATTGTGGTCAACAACCAGAAGCATGCTGGAGCCAGTTTAACCCAGCTCATTAGAGTCTGATTTAACTGGCCCATAGTCAAGGACTAGGAGCTTGTTAAATTTTCCATTTAACTCAGAAAAGAGCAAATGCTACAACTCAGGGCTTGATGTATTATTTGGTTGATTGTCTAGACTTAAGAAAAGATTGAGAAAATGTTAATAATACAGCTTAAACTTAGGTGTTGTGCATTTTTTCCCAGAGAGGCTATGGTTAAAACGTTTACTAGAACATCCCTGCTAATAACAGATCCAAAATTATGTTCTAACTGTTTAGAATGGAGATGTGGATGTAATACAGGGATGACAGGGCAGAACAGTGCTTGCTTATATCACTTGGTTCTAATCAGGCTGTAAGGAAATAGATCTCAAAAAAGAATTGACACCAAGAGGTCATGGATTAAGGTAGCACATTTTTTTGTTTATTAATTGGGCAAGACTGCCTTAGTTCAAAAAATGTGTGCTGCGGACTGAATTGAGGAGGCAGCTTTCTCCTTGTTGTATGTAAGAAAATGTAGGTCCAGACCTCGTCTGAAAACTGACTCCTTCCCTGAAAAAGGGTTAGTACCTCCACTGATGTTCATAGCAGATGGAGTCTGGGAGTTAGAAGATAGGATATTGCTTCATCCTTGGGGGAGGAGCAGGAGGGCAAATAACTTAATCAAATTAGTAGTAGTGGGCAGGAATTCAAGGAAGGTTTTTTTTTGGGGGGGTGGAGGGGGTTCTTACTCTTGATTTTACCCAATGTTTTCCCCTCTGGCTGTTCAGGAGAGTAGAAAGTTGGACTTTTGGCTCTTCCATCCATCCCAAGAGACTGCACGGAAGGATCTATAGGATTAATTCAGGCATTGATTGTGATAATCTGTTGCCTCTCTCTTTTGAGGAAAAATTGTTTTTATCTTTTTAGGATTATTGTTGAAGTATTAAATTCTCATTATATAGGAGTCATTTTTGAGAAATTAGTAAGTGTATATTGAGATAGGAACTTTTATGTGCTGTGTAGCTGTCAATATACTGCATTTGTATGTTCACTACTGAGTTAATAAGTTCTCTTATAATTCCTGAGGTCATTTATCCCAAATAAGACTGTCTTTAACTAATAGAGTTCAGTATCTCCCATCCTACTGGCAAATGCCCGGAGGACTGGTCCTGAGAACATCAGGTACAGGAGATGGTAGAAGCTGTAGGTATAGTTTATCCTTGTTATCCTCTTGATAGCAATTGATGGAGGATATGGACAGGTTTTCCTTCCAAACATTCCTCTTCTAGTCTCTGTAACAATGGGGCCTTTTTTTTTCAGTTTCCCCATCTCTAAAACTGATGGGATAGAAATACCTTTCTTGTTTACCTCCTAGGGTTATTGGGAGAATGAAAAGAGAAAATGTAGGTGAAAGCATTTTCTAAACCAGTGGAAAAAGTTTAAGAAGTCCTGCTTTAAACTACAAATGTGAGGGATTAAGGGATTAAAACTCAGAAGACCCTCAGGTGCATTGGGAGCAAATGAATATTATACACTTTGCATCCACCCAGAGTAAAAGAGATTCTATCAGGATAAAGTTGGCCTATACTATTCTGAAAATTATTTCAAGATCGAAAGAGGTAATTTCTTTCTTTCTTTTTTGGGGGGGGGAGGGGTGTGTGAGGCAATCAGGGTTAAGTGACTTGCTTCACACAGCTAGTGTCAAGCATCTGAGGCCACATTTGAACTCAGGTCCTCCTGACTTCAGGGCCAGTGCTCTATCCACTGTGCCACCTAGCTGCCCCGGTTTTTTTTTTTCTTTTGGAAAGAGGTAATTTCAATCATTCCATCATTCCACAAGATTTCTTTGAGTGCCTCTGTGCAAGGCACTTTGTCAGGCACCTTAGGGGAATACAGAGTTGACTAAGACATGACCCTTGCCCTTGATGAGCTTACAGTCTTACAGGAAAGATGAGACATGTACACACTTACCTGTAATACATGGCAGGACATGATATGCCTATAAGATAGGTACAAACAAAATTTCTATGACAGTTCAGAAGAAAGAAAGAGCTCATTTGGCTTGGGAGATGAAGGAAAACTTCATAAGGATAACATAAGAGGAGCTGGATCTTGGAGGATGGGTTGGAACCCAACTGGTGAAGATATAGGGGGAGGGAAGGTAATTCCAACTGTAGGAAACAGCATGAACAAAATCATGGCATGCAGGCAAATTCTGGACTGTGTTGGGAAAATGATAGGTGGTCCAGGTAGGTGAATACAAGTGTGGGACTACAGAATGAGAAAGAGTGGGGAAAGCAGGCTGAGGTCATATTGGACCGAGCTTCATATCCTAAATTGAGAGACTGGACTTTATTTGTTATATAGCAAGGAACCACTAAAGTGTTGTGAGCAGCAGTACCAGGATCAGCACTGTGCTTTAGGAAGATTGATTTGGTGGCCATATGTGAAAGCGGAAGGACCAGATTCAGGGAGATCAGTTAAAGGCTACTACTGTTTAGGTGGGTTATGAAGGCCTAAACCTGGATGGTGGTGGTGGAAATTTAAAGGAAGGGATGGATACAAAAGCCATTTCAAAGGCAGAATCAACAGGATTTAGTTACATGGGTGGAGAGGAAGAGGGACGAATCAAAAGTGACCCAGGTTTTGCCCTGGGGCGAGCAGAAGAATGCTGGTGTCATTAACAGAAACAGAAGAGTCAGGAGGTGATGCAGTTTTGGCAAAGGGGATGTGGGGAAGAAGATAAGTTTTGTTTTGAACAACACCTCCCAAACATACAATAGCCATAAGGTTATTTTTATATCCAGAATGGGCTGAAACTTGAAAGATGAACATTTCAGATTTTACTAGACCATTTCCTAGACATTAAAAAAGGAGTTTTACTCATGAATTTGAAAAAAAGAAAAACCTGGGCCTGTTAAATTAATAATACAGTGATATCTCTCCAAGCCACCATTCAAAAAAGAAGCCAGCCTGAGGGACAAGGGAAAGTAACCAAGACACCTAGGTTTCTGGTTTGAACAATCTACGTTACTTTTCAGGCTATAAATATTTTAGCTCGGCCTGCTTGAAAACAACTCCTTATCAAGAAAATGGCTTTTTTTTTATTAGCTGGAGTATTAAAAGAATTCTGATTACTTTGAAGAGAGAACTCTCTACTTGTAAGACATGCCAGCAAAGACTCTTCAAGGCAATGAACATTTAAGAAAACAGACAGTGGGTAGCATTAAGAAAAAAAAAAACAACTGAAGGACTGTATGCATGGAATTTAAATTAGGGCAAATGACAATGTTATTAAATACATTCTCCTAAAGCATATTCAAATAAAGCCAAGGATTTAATACGTATCAACATTCATTACCATAAAACCTGGTACTACTTTTGAGACTGAAATTAAGTTTTCAGTCTAGGAAGTTATCAGATTTGTCAATCTATATAATAGAAGGCATTTGTGTGCTATTACACAAAAATGGTACCCATATATGCATGTTCATATTGCACAGTATATTTTAAGCGGATGCGATAATCTTCTTGATTTTTGTATCCATAGTCTGGTCTTTCTATTTATTCTGATAAGGAGTCAAAGGCTTTATCGGATAATAAGTGACATTTTACAGCACATCCTCATACAAATCCAAAAATTCTGTGCTGAATTTCTTGTGTAGTACATAAGAAAACAAAATTGTATAAATTTTGCCTTTATTCATTTTTTTTGTGTGGCCCAGATTTGTCATTAAGAGACACAAGTATAATATTAAACTCTGTGGGAGAAGGGCAGAGCAAAAATTTCCTGCAATGTCCTGCTCCCCTCTGCCCCCAGTTTCATTTTTCAGACTCATTAGAAAGTTCAATCACTCCCTGTGAAGATAATGCACTTAAAAGAGCCCAAAGTACAGAAGGGTCTTCACAGTTGTGCTGCTGTTCCCAATGAAGGAAAAGCTCTTCTTTCCTTTCAAGTGTCTGCTTACAAAGAAGACAGTTAAAGCCCAGATTAGACCAGACGTGAATCTTGTATGGTGTGGCACAGTCCGGGCTTGGCAGAGCCTTTCCTGGTTCGCTGGCTCCCAAAGGAGCTTCCTCGCTCTTGGTTAATACATCCAGGTTTTTCTGATGGAGAAGGTAGATTTCCCTTTTGAGCTGTATGGGAAATGCATACACCTCCTCCTCCAAAGCATCCCTCTTTACCAGGCTTCTCCTCTCGCTGTGCTGTTTCCAGAAATGAGCGGCTCGCTTTACCACTTCTTCCTGGGTACCTTTGCTGCCTGGTAAGATTCCCTCCTTTAGTTTCCCTTGAATGTCTTCTCCGTGCACATATAATAAATGAAATTTCATCTCAGAAAAAGACTGAGCAGTGACCTGACAGCGGCCACACTTGATGTCCAATTTGACCTCATTGGCCTGTCCCGGAAAGAGGGTCTCCTCGAGGCTCGATCTGTTTTCTCTGAAAACAGAAAAAGCAGAGGCTGTGTGAGAGGTCCTAGTAAAGCAGACCAAGCACTCAAAGGCTGGCTCCTAAAACACCACCACCCACCCTGCAAATGTCCCAAACACGTGAGCTGATGAGGAGGAAAAATGAAAGGTAAGCAGCATGGACACAGCAGAGAACGTGAGTTCAGTCAAAGAGAAATCCTTCTGGTATCAAGAATGGATGTTGATCACCTCTGGCTGGGTGTGTTAACCTTCTTAGGTCATTATGTCCATGTGGTGAAGTCACGCTTCCCTTAATATCTGCCCTTCAAGAGGAATGATTTATGCTATTCTTATAATTTGGTACAATATGCAAGTTGGGGGCAGGAAATCCTAGAAACCTAAGTACTGGCCTGGGAGCAAAGACACCCAGTTTAACTCCCAGCTCTATCCCTGAGCACTATGGAACCCTGGGCGAGTCATTCAACCTCTAAGCGTCTTTTTCCTCATCTGTAAAATGAGGCCTTTCCAACTCTCATAGCCCATGACTACATTCATATTTGAAGAATGCTCCCAAATGGGACTTTGGCTTGCCTTACAAGAATGTAGGTCTGTTATAGTTCATCACCCATTAAGAATAAAAAATTATATCAAATCTTACATGGGAGGAAACCACTAAATAGCTATGAAAGCTTAGAGAGATTTCTGAAAGCTCTAAATGGACATAAACAACGTTAAATCTTACTCCAGCCCCCAAATAAAAACTGAATTTCTTTCCCACGTATCATTGCCATTAGCACTCACCTCTCTACTGATTCTTCTGCTCCTCTTAAGCCTATTTCTCGATTCTTTGGCCCTTTGCCCTGTGGCAATTCACTGGTGGAAGGTTCAGTGTTGATCACAACCCTATGTACTTCTTTCAGATGGCCAAAATAGACCCTTACGTGACCAAACACTTTTGCACAGAATTCACAATACATGAGCTTCTTGAGACGACTCTCACTATGATGAAGCTTCATATGGGTGCTGAGACTTCCAGAGTGCACATATGCTTTACGACAGATTCGGCAACTGTATGGCCGTCTGTTTGTATGTGTGTTCATATGGTCCTGAAGGTGGTGTTTAAACTGAAAGTGGTGGTTGCAGATGTGGCATCTGTGCCAAGGCTTTTTTATGGCAGAAAAGCCATTCTTGCATACAGTACCCGGTTTAGTGGAAGCACTATCATTCTGCTTGGAGCTGAAATACTTATTTGTAAGTGAATTATTTAACAAAATGTCTCGGTCTAAGCAGTCAGGAGATTTGGTCTGTAGAAGAGGTGCAGGGGAAGTCAGTGGAGCCATTGCTTGCATTACAATGACAGGTTTGGGCATAATGTTCCGATACTTTTTCACAGTGCTGGCTTTTCTGTCTCTGGGCTCCTGGGGGTCAATTTTTACTCTTTCTTTACCATCTCTACATGTGTCAAGGATACATTTTCTCTTTTTTGTCTGAAAAGTCAAAATTTCATCTGGGATCTTTCGTTTTCTTCCTCTTCTCTTTGCTGTTCCACTATTCAATTTCTTTTTGTTGTCAACTTCCACCTTTGTGGGTGAGCAAAAGGCATCTTCACAGGTCACTGGCTTGGACACTTGTGTGAGTGAAACAGCAAAGAGCTTATCAGATGTTTTGGTGGACACATTGAAGGTTTTTGCAAATGATGAGACTTTGTCACAGTCGGGCCTGTGCCAAGGAGAAGCGGGACCTACCATGCTGGCATTTGGCTTAGTTTTACAAAACATTGTTGTCTTCATTCTTGAGTAAGGTAAGATTGGAAGTTTACCTTTAGGTGCTGTAGGAATCAGATGAACTGCATTGCCAAAAATCGCTGGGGACAGAACAGTAATGGCTTTTGCAGAATCAGCTACTCTTTCTTTGATTTTCTCACCACTGATGGCAGAGGGCTTTCTGGCTATTGTCTTTGTGTCTAGGTTGACTTTCATTGAATTACTCAGCTCAGCTGAAGTTTCCTCTGGTACCCATGGTTTTGGAATAGTAACAGTGTCACCTGCCTCAGGTCTGTTTATCAGTGGAGGTCCAGATTCTACACAGCTGCTTTCATCAAGCAAAGCAGTAACTGTGATTTCAGTTGGCATCTGATCTATTAATATCACATGTTCAGATGAATCAATGTTCGTATGAAGTTCAGAATGGTTGGTTATTGAAGGTGATGGCTGGGCACATGTTTGTGTATTGGCTGGAACCTTCTTAATTACACTCACAGAGGAGTTTGGAATAGTTTCCACCCCTGGTACCTTCTTATTTCTTGTAGGTTGGTACCGAGGAATAGGCAATTTAAGGGTTTTGGGCAATGATATTTTGGGCTTCTGGATGGGTTGGCTTGTCACTGCGGGGGTAACATGGGGCAAAGCAACAAGAGAAAAGGTTCCCTCCTGACCAGCAACTTGCATCAGGGCATAGTTTTGGGGTGGCATCACCAGAGGCCTAGAATTTGCTGAGGATGTGGGATGAACTTGATCAGAGAGTGATGGTGATTGATAGGGCAGCACTGGGGACGTTAGGACTTTTGGTGTAATTTTGGGGGCAATAGTCCTAAACTGAATTTTATTCTGTAAATTTTTTCCAGTCTGTGTTGTCCAGGGAGAAACTTTAGGTTCATCTGCAATGATAATACAAAATTCAAAAACAAAATGTTATTGTATTATATTTATCCAAATATTGACAGTCCAAATAAGCACATTAAAAGTAACTCAAAGAAAAATATAATTAAAATGAGATGGTAAAAAGATTCAAAGAAGTGTCAAAGCCTTACTTTCACATTTTTCAAATAGTATTCCTCTGGACTGAGGTTTCAATGCTCCAACTAGTCTTCATGCAGGACAGGGAGTTAAGGCATAGTGCCTAGCACAGTGAGCTAAATAATGCAAGTTAAGTTAACACACATTTGTTTCCTTCCTTAAACAATTGGCTTTACAAAAGACAGACTGTGCAAGCACTCACTTCCTAGCCCAAACCTTTTTACAAACAGTTTTTGTGACCTACAAAGAGCACATTTTACCTACTGTGCTCATGTCATCTCTGAGCTGCATTTTCCTACACATATCGAACATATTAAAACGTAAAGTGACGGTACAATAGATGCAATAGTCACCAATGCAGGGCAGGATAAAATAGATCATTGCTCTGTGAACATTCATCCTTCGCTCCATTTGAGGTCGCACCATTTGGCACAGCGGCAACACAATTTGTTTGCTCGGGTGGAAGAATTCCAGGTTGAAAGCCAGCCTTGTTTCTATTTCCCCATGTGACTTGTGAATTTCTCTTCACACGTTTCCACTGTTTACGTGTGCTTTTGCAATTAAGTCACCAGTATTTAAAAGCTGATGTGACTCCCCTCAACCCCACCAACATTTAAAAGTGTTACAGATACTTAACAATATGCAAAGATAGAAAACATTCTCTAGCTCATACAACTAAAATAATCATACTCTTTATGATTTATGAGAGCACCTAGTGACCAGTTCTTATTCCACTTAAAGGCAGAATGATATACAGGAAAAAACACTGACCTTTTGAGTTTGATGATCTAGTTCTGAATTGTGTCTTTCCTACTTACTTATCAATCTGAATTTGGGTAAATTGCTTAGTCTTTTTGAGCCTCATTTTCTTCATATGTAAAATAGAGATAATATTTTGCTAACCACTTCACAGGTTGGTCATGAGGAAACAGATTTATAAAGCGTAAAGTCTTCTATAATGTACAACACTGTTATTCTAATAGGTCCCTTCCTTAGCCCAATCTCATGAAAAGAAAAAAACAAGAAAAATACTTGTTCTGGACTCACAAAAGGATTTATCCCCTGGGTGGAAACCAGAATTAGGGAGTAGTTTCTTGCCAAAAATCTTTACATGAAGGAAATGGTCTTAGATAAGGAATCCAATCTGCATTTCTAACTTTAGACAAAGTGTACAATTTCAATGTCTTTCTTTTTGGATTGAGGCATTCACCTATTTCTTTCTACAGTTTGAAAAATGGAGTGTTAAATAGGCTAGGGATATTTGTCATAGTCTCTATATAGATGACACTGCTATATTTAGCTGGAATATTAGATCGTCTGGACCATTTCAGGTTGCTAGGTGCAATAGGTAACACTGATCTCATGGTATACCTCAGTAAATGCCATTTGGTATTTCCAGAAATCAAATATCTGGGATACAATGGAGAAATGGAAATGTAACACCTATCTGAGACTAAAGAGAACTTTAGAGGGGAAGGCTCTTACAATTAAAAAAATGACTGGGTAACTTTCGGGGGGGGATTCCCAGGGACAAAAGGCCATGCTTTGTGACCAAGTTGATTCATGACCTGAATAATCTCAAAAGGGTGAACCAGATAAAATTAAGTGTTAAGAAAAGCTGAAATAGGCTCTGATTCTTCTACCTGTTTTAAGAGTTCCAGACTTTTCCCTCATAGTGATTGCCGCAAACAATTCAGGCACACTAATATTATAACATCATGAAAATGTAAAAGTTTTATACTGTATCATGGGAAAAACTACATTGCCAAAAAGAAGGAGACACAGAATCTTGAAAGAGACCTCAGAGAGCCCTCTAAGGGCAGGTCCCCCCAACCTGTCCAGTCTTAACAAGGATTTCTTCTATAGTGTAACTGACAATGGTCATCCAGCCTTTGCTTGAAAACCCTACCGAAAGGGGTTTCTAGAAAAACCTCCTGGAGCAGTCCCATTTTAACTTTGAAAAGTTCTATTTGTGGTACCCAGTTCTAATGTGGTACCCAGAAGTGAACATATGTCTCCTTATCAAGGCCAAGCATAGCTGGACTTTTGCCTCCCCACTTCACACTCTGTTTCTCTGAATGCAACCTAAGATCATATAAGCTTTTGAGCTGCCCTAGCAGATTGTTGGCTCATACTGAGCCAGCAGTCTACTAAAACCCACAGGCCTTTTTTCAGATCAATTGCTACCTATCCATGCCTCTTCCTGCTGAAGTTAATTTTTTTTAACCCAATTGTAAGACTTTACATTAACCCCCTATTAAATTTCATGTTACAATTAGTCCAACATGGTAGCCTGAGACATTACTGGATCCTTACCCCTTAATCCAGTATTTGAATTATCCCTCCTAGCCTTATAAATTACATGAGAGGCAGGAATGGCTGCATCAACCTTAAAAAACAAACCAACCAAAAACACTGAGCTCCACGAGAGGTCAGTTAGTTTCACTGGGCCCTTCACTAGAAACCTCTTTCCAAGCCATTAATGACTATTTTTGGTGTACTATTATTTAGCAATCCCAAAAACATTTAACTATACTATTATCTAGTGTATATATTCTCCCAACTTGTCCACAAAAATAGCATGAAAGTCTTTGTCAAATACTTTGCTGAAATCTAGCGAAATTATATCTGTCCTATCAGTGCGGTAACTATCAAAAAAGGAAAGGAGGACAGTCTGGCACAATCTGTTCTTGATAAAAACATGCTAGGCCTTTGTCATCATTATTTCCTTTTCTAGAAGTTCAAAACCATTCCTTTTATATAGGATAATCCTATATGTGCTAGAATTTGTCTAAGAATCAAAATAATGTTCACTGTACTATATATTTTTCAAACTCATCCTTACTCAAAACTGGAGCAATATTTGCCCTTTGACAAGAATCCTGTGGCACCTTTCTCGTTCTTTATGATCACTGAGATTCATAAATTAAATCTGTAGGTTCTCACAGTGCCCTGTAATATGCTTACTCTAGACCTGGTGACTTGAATTCATCAAGAGAAGTTGTATGCTTTCTTTCTAAATGCTGCCATATTGGATTTTGACTCCCTATTAGACACCTCTCTTCTAATTTTCTCAATCCAAAGGTTGTCTACCTTGGCAGAGAAACTTTGTTACTTCTATGGCCCTGTTACAATAATGTGGCCAATCCATTTGTGCTTGCCTGTGGATAACACCTTACGGATTTTCCATAAGAAGCTCACCTAGTATGCTAGGAGTTTTCCTCTAGTTTTTTGTTGTTTTATTTGTTTTTTTGATATTGTGTGGCTTCCAATGAAGCACACAGATTTTCCATTGGTTATCTTTTTCTCTCACTATGTTATCGGTTCATCTTTTCCGGTCATCCATTTCTTAAGCAGTCACCCAGATTAAAATGTCATTGGGAAATAAATGTTTGTTGTTGTTTAGTCATTTTTCAGCAATGTCTGACTTTTCGTAACCCCTGTTGGGGTTTTCTTGGCAAAGATACTGGAATGGTTTGCCATTTCCTTCTCCAGCTCATTTTACAGATGAGGAAACTGAGGTAAACAGGGCTAAGAGACTTGACTAGGGTCACACAGCTAGTAAGTGTCTGAAGCCTGATTTGAACTCAGGAAGATGAGTCTTCCTGATGAAGGCCTGGCACTCTTGTTTAACAAAATAAATAAAAATACAATACAACATAGATAAAGTTAATTTGTAGTTTTAAGTCAACATACAGCCTACAGTGATCCATTTCTATTTGAGTTTGACACCAGTGCTTTTTAGCAGGGCTTCTTACACTTTTTCCACTTTCGATCCCTTCAGCACTTCTACATAATTTTTCATTTGTAATGTAGTAGCCTGCTTGGGGCTACCACCTATTAAGTGATTTTAACTTTAGTTCTTTGGAAAAGGATATTCCATGACTTGTAACCATACAGCACTCCTAGAATAATACTAATGTTAGCTAGATGGGCCTGTGCTTTAGTACCAAGTTTGGGATTGTTAAAAGCACGGCAGTTTCCTAAAAGAAACCTAGCTGGCTAGCCTCTCGCCATTCAATTGTGAACCCACTTTACCATCTACCTGTAGCATCTAAGAAACATATACTGATGGATTGGTTTTAAGTCTATCCTTCCAACTCCTGAGCACAGATTAGGCAACAGACATACTTCATTAACTGGGTTTTTCCTGTATAAATAGTTAGGCTAAACTTTTGAGTGATTGTGGATTGCATTTAGGAGTCAGCAGCATTCTGGAAGTTGATACTATCAACACAATGTGATCCACAAAGGAGTATCTGAAGGAAGTCAATATTTACAGAGAATCTTTCTTCCAAATGCACTATGAGTTGAATATCCTTCATCATAGTAGCAAATGTCATTGGTGAGGATATATCTCCATTTTATGCTTTGATCAGTAACAATCAGAAGGTTGAATAAAATTATATTTGTTGTTATAACTTTCAAGGAATCTGTATGATTTTTATAAGAAACCACCTGTTGGAGAGCATTTAAGACAGCATTTTGCTATTCCTAATTAAATGTCTTTCTACAGTAATAAATGAGCACAGCAGGATCTGATATTCTCTGTACGTCTTAGTCAAATGTGTGATTGAAAACATGTGGAATGCTGTAGAATACACTTCGTAAATGCCTGTCTATTCCCTATTTGTGCTTTCATCAAGGATGTCCTCCCTCCATATTCGTGTAGGTTACTCTCATAAAGAATGCGTAGAAGAAGGAAAGTAGACATATGGGTTGTTAAAGCATCTATGTCCACATATACTCTTTTACCTATTTCCTATTTTTCAGGATCAACAGCTAATTTAAATATATCAGGTTGGAATTACTTCAATTGCTTGTCATATCTTATTTTTAACCTTCTTTGAATTTGGGATTG